TGATTATATTCAAATCAAAATCCAAAGCAATAAAACGTAAATAATATTTTATCTAGCATCGACGTTGAATTAAACTAAGGTAATGTTAATGCCGTATATTTATTTTAAAACAACTTTCAGTTTTAAAGTATTCAACATCTTTCAAGAGCTATAATTAGAATTCATTTCTTCAAGAACGTAAGCATAATTTTGAATGAAGCATTTCAATTAAAATAGCACAATAATGAACTTTGAAACTGGGAAAATAACTTATTCATACAAATTCGTTATCAACTGTTGTCATATTTATTGTTTATCCGAATTTATCCGTAGCACACATGTGATCTGACGCAGATTATGCAACATTATTGTTGTGTCACTTGGTATTCTAAAGAATAATTAAATAATGATAATTAATATTAATATAATTTTAATTCGCCTTAAGGTTTCACTAATGCATTGGTTAAGAAATTCGATTGAGCCAAGGCTCAAATATGACGGCGCACGTACGACCGATTTACGTATTTAATTACACTAATAAAGAGAGCAAATTTTAGAAATGTTTTAAATAATTTTTTTAAAACATATTCAGATATCGTAACACAATCACTATTGCTTCTTAAAATGCTATTTAATTATATGCCTGTGTATGATCAAGAATGTACAATATTATTTTTGAAAGATGACATCAACAATAAAGTTTCTGTCAAATATTTACCTCGTAGGTTCACTTTTTCTATTATAAACACTCGATATGTATCACTATTATTAAACTTTAACATAAACCTTATCGCACCACTCGATATGTATTTTCACTGTCACTTCCAAATTACCAAAAATCAAAATTCGTTCCTACACGCGCGTTTATAGTAGAAATACGAATTCCAGAATATTCTCGTAGATTCTTGAATATTCTGAACATTAGTAATTGCTCTTAAAATACGTCAGAAAAGATGGCGCTACAGTAGAGTCGACGCAAAACAGTACTCTAGTGAGCCGACGCCAATTTAAAAAAGAGCGGTAAAACCATATTGAACTTTCTACCGTAAAAATGTTTCGATTTTCGATTTATTTCTTGTACTTTATACAAAACACTAGTTTTTTTTAACAATTATTACACTGTTAATCATAAATATAGAATATCAGTTTGTTACATATCCATCCATTATATATTATGAGCGGCATGATAAACATACAGGCTTAAATTGCAATCATATATCATTATTTATAATTTGCAATAAACATATATTGACTTGATTATTACAAATTGATTAATTATTCTAATACATATATGCATCATCATTATTATTGATTTCTGTCCCGATTATGTTAAAATTAATTTTTTACATATAAAATAAATAATGCTACTGCTCATGCCAATTAAATACATTGTAATTAATCTCATTAATGTATTTTAAAATGCTTATTCTCCTATTTGTTCACATGCACTGATTATGACAAAATTTAAAAAACCACACACAATGAACAAAAACTTTGTATAAGGGTCATACTTATGAAAAATAATTATATATTTAACTTGAATATAATCAACAAGTCTTTAAATTAAAGGGTAAATACAAACCATTATAAAGATATAGTTTAAACATTTTATAAGTTTACAATAAATTCAAAAGTAAATAAGAATATACTGCTTGATGAAACATAATTTTTAAAAGGTAAATTAGGCTTTGCACCGTTAGATCAAATAATTTAATAGTTCGAATAAACAAGCATGCACAAAAGCGATCTAGGTTGTGTACTTTAGTATATTGTTTCCTTACAAATCTAAAAATTAGAATTAATTTATGATTAAAATAAAAAATAAGCCACATATTTATACACATTGTTGTCATAAAAACTTTATGACCCAGAATTAACACTATTACCTTTGGACACAAATATGTTATTCCGTGAATGCTAAACCAAAATTCTTTCCTATAAATGAATAAGAAAATATGCACGATTGAAAAACAATTTACAATTTACAACCTCAAAACAATACATTAATACTGGACTTTATCACTAAACATAAAGTAACAATTATACTGTAAAAGTTTATTGAAGTTTTATTACAAATAATTTAATTAATAAAACAGAGAAAACCTGATGTGCATGTCATAATGAAACTAAATTTTAATTCATTCATAAAAGATCAATATAAATTATAAGCTTAATGCAAACAATTGATAAAAGAATAAATAAAAATATATCTTAAAAAATTGCTTCATCTATGCCTGCGCCTTGATCTATCTCGTGTAGTTCTAAAATAAAAAAATAAAAAATTAGCTGTTATATTTGATTGGAATAAAATAATTCTAAGGGTCGCACTTACGCTTTTGGTCCTTTAACAAAACACCAATCCACACTGATGGTCTGCCCTAAGATATCAGCACCATTCAAAGCGTCTCTCGCAGCTGCAGCCTGCTTGAACGTTTCATATTCCACTAGAGCATAACCCTACAAAAATTTATTTTACTATTTTTTCAAGATGATTGACATCACAAATTACGTACTTTTAAATATCCCGTTCTTCTATCTAGATTTAAGTGTATATTTTTTATGTCCCCAAACTCTGAAAACTTATCTTGTATGTCATCCTCTTGGGCTTCCTCATGTACGGAACTAACAAACAAAATCCATCCCTCAACAGCTGAAAGAAAATTTAATACTACTTATCATTCAAAATTAAAATAATCACAAACATGTATCATTTTAGAGTATATAAATTTATACTTTTATTTTCAATTTATTTAATGAAAAATAGTAAGATATTGTCGACATTTAGAAAAAAAAAAGTTAAACTAAATTTCAAATGTCTGTTAATTAACAACTCAGCTAGAATTAGATATCAAATAATATGGATCACATTATGAGTCGTTGGATAACAAAAAACATTAACTAAGCAGCAGAAAGAATTATCAGTTTAAATTTTGCAAAAATGCATGATCTCCCTCATAAGTATTTCAACTTAGTACTGATATTTTAACTGCAAAATATACTCAATATAAGTTTAAACCACTGATGTTAAAGCAATGTTACAAAAGTTGGCGAAAATCTTCCTATTTTATAAAATGAGAGGAAAAGAAGACTGTTTGCTGAACATGGCAAATATGCCACTCTGTAAAGAAATATTAAAGGAGCTGATAATATACCACTACTCAATTGTATGTATCATTAAAACAGAGCCACATATTGCCATTAACAAAATCGTTTTCTTAATAAAATCTCACATCTTTGAGGGCCTGGTTCTTCGTCTCCATCAACATCAACACTTTCATAATGTCGAATAGTTTCTCTTGCTGTACCGTCAGAGCCGAAACCCCGTCCTTTACGTTTACGAGCCTTTTCCTTCAAACGAGCGATTCCCTCTGTCAAAACACAAATTAACGTTGAAAACAAAACAGAAAATACAAGAAAGGTTATATGGGGTTATCAAAATTTAAATCAAACATACGATCGCCTTCATCATCAACTTCAAATTCTTCGGCGTTGTCAATATCTAAAACATCGGCCATCGCAGAACCTTTGTACAAAAACAAGAATTTATATAATTTTCCGATAATGTTTAGAGCTCATTAATGTTTGCAGATCATTTACATGTAAATTCATAAAACCATAGGTAAAAGATTCATCAATGGCTCAAGATCATACGCTTAGCATCACTAAAACGCGAAACGTCGCCATCTGTTATGGCTCGGCTCCACTGCACGAACGCGCACGGCGAATTGACCGGCCATGCGGCGAATCATGGGGAGTTATCTCCGAACAAATGTATATTACCATTAAGGTGCGTCCACACCTAACGAACGAACACGAACGAACATGTCGAACAAGAAAATACAAAGAACAACGAACAGGAACACGAACGAACGCAAAAAATTCCAAACAAACGCCTCAAAGCAGTGAGGGCTTGAATCTTTTTGTTCGAGGATGTACCGTGAAACGTCAGATTTATTATTTAAAGTGGCGAGAAAAAGCAAAATTATTTAAAGTCATCAAATTTACAAAATTTGTCAATAACATCAATATCTTATTATAAACACAACAAAAACTAATGCAGGACTGCACATTTTTACATCAAAAAAGAAAAATGTTTGTCTACGTTCGTGGTAGCGTCCACACTGCACATACGAGTTCAAACATGAACGAACAATTCCCTTTGATGTACCGACAAGTTGCGGAACATTGCTCGCCATGTTTGTTTATGTTCGTTCGTGATCGTCGCGGCTCCACACTATGCTGTTGCCGTTCGTTCTGGTACGTTCTTTTATGTTCGTTCGTGTTCGTTCGTTAGGTGTGGACGCGCACCTTTATGTTTACTTATCTATGCGGCGAATCCTGTTTTTTTATATGCACGTGGTCATAGAATATATAAGTAAGCATAAATTCGCTTCGGTTCGCTTTTGCTTGCAAAATTTCTGTCCATGCATAGATAAAAGAAGAGTATATGTATGTATCATACTCTAATATTGTCTAGAATTCAGTTCATAGATAAACATCATAAACTTTACTTGTGTTTACTATGTGTTTACAACTTTACTTGAGGAGTCATTAAATAACAAAAAATTACGATTGCCAGAAAACCCATACACACTGAAGTTGGCTCCGGTGTTGATCATAACCTGTCAAAATTTCAGCAGTGTTGCTTTCTGCAAATCATTTAGGGGAATATTTAGTGCAATTCTTCTACCACTACTGCGCATATGCTCGATCTCATTTTTTTCTTGTAGCGTTGTATCGTGTCATGTCCGCCATTTTCTGTTCAAGTAAGACCTTTATTCTGATTGTGCGTTTTTAATTTCATTTTTTTGCAGTTATGCCTTTTCATTTCGTTTCTTTATGATTCTTTCATTTATTTCATTTCATTTTATATTGTTCTTTCCTCTGCGGTTACCATTTTAGTGCTATGCAATCAATTCGCTTGTGCACGTTTCTTCTTAAGTAAGGCTTTTATTATTATTTTTCTTACATTAACATATTTTATTATAATTCGTTCTGTTTCTTTTCATTTATATTTCTTACTGCGCTTTTTGAAATTAACAAATTTACTTCTTCATTAGGTTTGTTTTATTTGAGGGTTATTATCTCACTTTCTACATTAAGGTCTAGCTTAGGTTCCACTTTCTTTACCTTCTTTTCACATTTAGGTCTAGCTGCTTCCATATTATTTTGCTAGTTTTACATTTAGGTCTAGCTTAGTACTTTTTACATTTAGGTTCGTTACTAGCTTAGCTTCCATATTATTTAGATACTAACATTTAGGTCTAGCTTAGGTTCCATATTATTTAAGTAGTTTTTACATTTAGGTTCGTTACTAGCTTAGGTTTCATATAATTTAGGTACTTTTAACACTTAGGTCTACCTTAGGTTCCATATTATTTAAGTCGTTTTTACATTTAGCTTCGTTACTACCTTAGCCATATTATTTAGGTATTTTTAACATTTAGGCCTAGCTTAGGTCCATATTATTTCAGTAGTTTTTACATTTAGGTTCGTTAATAGCTTAGCTTCCATATTATTTAGGTACTTTTTTACTTACTTTTACATTACTTTCTATTTTCATGCTCTAGCCTTTAGTTCATACTCATTTCACAATTTATACAATTTAGTCACTTTGCTCTTTATTCTCGATATCTATTTTATTTGTAATTTATCCAATAAACCAACATGGACTTTGCTTGTAGTGAATGCAAAACCACGTTTACAGCTCGTAGCTCTTTATATCGACACTTCAGGAGACAGCATGACAAAGAGCCACGAGCCATTTATCCTAATTCGTGTCAATTTTGTTATAAAACCTTTAAAACCATACATACTTTAGATAGACATGTACGCCAAGTCCATTGTAATATCCCTGCTCCTTCAACTACACAATCCTGTTCATCATCTTCCGAAGATTATACACATTTGTATTTATTTTGTATCATTCTTCTAATGTTTTCTATAACATAGGTCAAATTGTAAATAATATAATGTGTATATATTTCATTTTAATAAAAATATTTATCGGAATAGATGTTTTTTTTAACTATGTTTGGTATTTTTCATGGCAATCATATTGTTAAAATTTGTATGAGATACACCTGATTATTTTAAAACATTCTAAATATCATTACTATATTTATATACAATTACTATAAATGCGATATACTCGTATGTGAGTTAGGTGTTGATATATATTTAATAAAACGAAAGACTGAAAATATCACAATTTAATACATATCATATGTTTGACTTCATTTTATTATATGATTATAAATATATACACAAAATATAAATAAGTTGAGTTCTAATGAACAGAGCTTACATCAAGAACTTTGATGTTCATTTAATATTTAAGCGTGTAAATTCCTGGTCTTAATTCGATGAGAAATGTAAATAAAACTGACCATAAAGTTAAAACATAGAAAATATTGTGAGTAACTACAATAACTAATCTAAAACACTCTTTAATGTCCTAATCAAACAAAATTTATCGTTTTTCGTAATAATATTCGCTAACAAAGAACATTTCACCATTATTATATTATTATTATTATTATATTGTCTAGGTATTTCACTGTGAAAGCAATTCTTTCATGGAGGTTATGTGTTATTTTGACGTTTCATTTGCGAATGACAGTTTAGGTGTATTACACAGTGTCTTTCGTCTCTGAATGTTGGTAAGTCGTTTTTTTTTATGACGTCTGTTGGGTTTCTTAGTACATGGCATATTTTTGGGTTTAACGGGGTGTATTACTCATAGATAAAAGAAGAGTATATAGATCGCTCTCTCGGGCATATTTCGTTGCCACATTCCTGTGTTAGTTGAAGCCCCGCGCTACAGATGGCACTAGTCGCCTGAACGGGTGCGTATAAAAAATACTATAGAAATGAACCAAAATTATATGGACCGTTTTAATTCAAAATTTAAAAAAGAAAAAATTGAAAAAAAAAAATTTTGAAGCATTTATTTTTCACAAAAACATTCTACATTATATCTACATAGTTCTCTTTATAAACAAAGCACACATAGCATAAAAATGTACATAAATATACACATTATCCACAATGTATATATATATATATATTATATATGATTATAATAGATGGTAGTAAGCTGTAAAAACTATGTGCGAAAAGCATAAAAATGTACTTAAATGTACACCCTAGCCAAAATGTATATAATATATACAAATATACATATATATATATATATATATATACATATATATATATATATATATATATATACATATATATATATATATATATAATATACATATATATATATATATATATATATGTGTGTGTGTAATATCATTTTAGCATATCAGCCTTTCAAGCTGAGCACAAAAAGAATAGAAATGTACATGAATGTATATATTATTTATATATACATATACATATATAACCACAATTCTTTGATTGATATTGATTCAGATCAATATATAACCAATATATATATATATATATATATATATATATATATATATATTTACATAATATTTATTTTGATTAACATTAAGTTACATAATATCTATGATGTACAGTCTCTATTTGGGAATCTTTTCTGCGCTATTGTTAATGTGCATTCAAATGTTTGTTCAAAATGTCATTATTATCATTGTCTTAAAGAAAAACAACAATCATTGATATTATTATAACAGTACTTAATAGTTTTCTTATAGCATCTACAATAAGACATTTTAGAGTAAAGCTATTGACATCTCTTTCAGAATAGTCAAATGCAATAAGCAAGTGCACATTAAGGGTGTTTTATCCCTTTGCTTTTTAGAATTTTATCATTAATCATGATTATACTTTGCCTGTCATTTGACAGTTCCTGAAAATCTATACAATGTGATTCCCTTTATCATCATTAAACAACACAGATAATAATATTTCTTGTAATATCAAAATGAAATTATTAATACTTAAAAACTTTTCCTGTGACATAGCCAAACCTAAATTAACCTTTGCACTAGCTAGAATTTCACCATTAATTGAGAATTTCCTTTCACTTACGATTATATCATTAGTGTTTTTAGTATGTTCTCCAAACTGACTTAATATATAATTACGAGTCGTACTGTTCAATATTAGTGGGAGATCAGCAAAGATTTCAGCACATTTCAGACTTCATTCTTATTGTTTTTTCCTGTGTATTCATTCATCTCATATCAATACTTGTACACTTGTGAATGTGTTTAGTAAACCGTCTAAACATTTTACATTTGAACGTATTTTCCTTTTATACTGCTGAAAAAATCGATGTAGAATTATTAGTTATGATCCTACATTATTAGAACAAGATTAATTTATATTTAGTTATTTAATAACATACCTTTCAGAGAGCTGACAGGAATTCTCTCTGTCTATTTATAACCTTAAAATTTCTAGTATTGATATAGTTAAATGTCTCAATTATTTCTGAATTATTAAACTGTAATGAAAAATCATATCAGAATAGTACAATCAAATGAAAGTAATTCGAAGTATGCATATTAATAAAAGTACTCACTTAGATTGAAAGCCGGCAAATATTATTACTTATTTTACTTTTACTTCGTCGTTTCTCGCTGGAACTACATAATACATGCATTTTTCTTGGTATTTCTTCTTCGTTAAACAATGCACTTCGACAGCTTATTTGTTTTTACTCTAACAACATTTATATTGTCTAGGTTATCTCTCCATGAAAAATTTATTACAATGGACGCCATGTTTAATTTAAGTATCTGTCATATGTCAAATTCGATTTCAAAGTGAAAAAAAAAAAAAAAAAAAAAAACAAGCGCGACCGGCGGCAGGGGCTCTAACTAAACTCGGGTTACAGACGTTTGTTCCGAGATTACCGGCCATGTCTTTCTTGTGTTTACTATGTGCATAAAAGTTTTTGTTTTTTACTATGTGCATAAAAGTCTTTTACTTTTTTATCTATTGTCTTATCCATACTCTTCTTTTATCTATGGTCTTATCTGTTTAGTTGGCACTGGTTGGTACACTAGGTATTTATACTAGTTTATCTATGTTGGTACCCTAGGTGTAATGTTTTGCTTTTCGAGTGATATGCCTGTATGATAAAATTTATAGGTTAAAGATTTTGGAATTAGACGTTTGAATAGTATTACTAACATTCAATAAAGCTAATTCAGTCAGTTTCATATTTATTGTATTTGCTACAAAAATATTTACTTTTATAGATAACGTATGCTCCCATACTGATCCTGGCAGAACTTTACTTCGAGCACTAATTTTTCGAAGTATATTTGTATTTTCAGCAGCTGCGGATATTAATTTAAAGGCAAATGTTAGGTGTAGCAAGATACATATCTTTCAAACTAGTTTCTTTATCTAGAATATTAAAGCCTATTAGTATTTGTGATCATTTACAAGCATATAGTTATTCAAGTCAAAAAAATAATTTACTTGATTCAGTATGTAAGGATGAACTATTTGATCATTCTGAAAATGACGTCGATTTAGATGAAACAACATTACGTCAGCTCCAAAGATGGTCTTTGGTCAAATTAGATGATGCAAGAGCCTTGCATTCCCTTAAAAATTCAATAAGGTTTGCCAATAAAATTTTGGATATTGATACAGAGGGGGTGGAACCTTTATATACTGTACTCGAAAACAAGTAAACTTCTATACTTATTTCATATATCGATCATCCATAAATACTTTATTTGCATTACCTATATTTCAGACATTTAACATTGAGAAATGATGTTGTATCTGAAGGCAATTGTAGAGAAGATATTTTATCTAATGCATGTGTAAAAGAAGAAAATTATTTTGTAGCGCCACCTGGAAATGTTCCATTAGATACTGATACTAAAATTGAATCTGAACAAAATTTTAACAAAACACCGCAATATGAATATGATGTATAAAAATTTATGCATACCACAATTTGCTTATAGATCATATTCCACATTTTCAAAACTTAAAAATATGGAGAAAATCACTAAATATATAAATGGACCGATGGGATCAAAATTTGAAGAAAACTTAAAACAACAGTGGATTAATTTTCACATGTCAAGTTGCGATTATGGATTTTTTGCACTTTTTAATAACAATCCAGGATTTTCATCAAAAAATCTATTGCATAACCTCCATGAAATAAAGCATTTATGTAATTCCCAAATACCGATAGGTTTTCTTATTAATAATACAAGTTCTCTTGGAAAGGCCAACATCGAAGGACCTGTTTTACAAAGTTTATTATTCACATCTCCAATCAACTCACAACACTTGTACTTTCAGTGGTTGAGGCAAAGAAAAATTTGGTGGAGCCGGGTAATAAATCGTTTATTATATTCTACATGTGTTTTATTTTTTGTTACGAATTTATTGTTTTTAAGTAATGCAAAATATGAATGTGCTTATGTAGTTTGAAAATTATGTAAAAATTTAATATATTTAATCCAGTCATTTAAGAAAGTTTTAATATATTCTATCAAGTCTTTTTAAAAAGTTTTTTTATTTTTCATTAATATTATGTGATAAGTGTACTCATTATAGTTTTCAGTTTATCCTGGGCATATTTTAATACAAGATCTACTTAATAATGAAGGGGATCAAAATTTTAATGACTGCTGTCCACACCAACTAAATTCTTTAATTAATCTTAAACTACAGAATATTAATATAGTTGTAAAAATAGATGAACAAAACTTGCCTATCGAAACAATTGGATTATATGAACAAGATAGCAAAAGAGGTAATTAAATTTACTTTTACGAAACAGCATTTTAATACATATTTTTTATACAATATAAAAACAAATGGAATGCAGTTACTATTTGATTTTGCTTGAAATAAATATAAATAAATTATAGGATTATATATGCAAGATAATTCTGGTGAAACACTTCCACATATCATTATAAGTTCTATTAACTTAAGGCAAAGCTGCATAGGAATCCTTAGAGAATGTCTTGATGCAAGTAATAATTTGATTCTTCATCATAATCTCGCACCTTTTCAGTACAGAATCATTTGCGAATGTATAGGTAAGCATAAATTTTATATAATACAATTATCTGTTCTTTCCTAATTCATTTTTTGATGTTTTTTTTATTTTAAAGTATTTACAATTATGTAAACTTATTTAAAATCATAGAAATTTTTTTTCTAAGAATATTTTTATTTATTTTGAATTTCAGACATGGATGATGCAAATGAGTTGATAGATTTGGGACAATACTTATGTGGTTTGTTAAGAAAGGCACATATTTCAACATTATTTACAAATAATAATAATTTATCGTTAAATGAGGTTTTAAAACAAAGTGATCAAATAGGAATACCATATTGCTTAATACTTCGTAGTAATTCATTAAAAAATGGATTTGTGTACTTGCGTAATAGAGATACAACATTAGAGGTTTGTTTCAATTTCATATATTTTATTCAATATCAAATGATTTTTCTATGTGTGTTAGATATAATATAAATAATAAAAGGATTTTATTTTAGGAACAAATACATGTTTCAGACATACCAAAATATTTAGAAAAACTGTGCAAGAAATAATTGACAATATTTAAATGCTGATAACAGAATTAATGGTTATTATTGATTATAAAGGAAATATAAAAAATGCTAATGAATGTTAGATTTTAATATTTTTGCCAGTGATGTTTAATTTGATAGTTTTTTGTGATGAATACAGTAGGCCCTCGCTTTACACGGCACTCTGGGTACACGGTTCCCATACTACACGGAGCTAAAAATCCGACATCCCTCCGACTACACGGACTTCTTATTACACGGTATTTGGTCAACAGCCCATAAGTTCGTTGTGCAAAAGGGTATTGATGTAAATTTTGTTATCGACTTTTATCTTTTAGACATGCCTGATTGTATAATAGCCGCCTAAGAACACGTTTGAGCTGACTACTGCGTCGCGCCAATTTTTGAATAAGGTGTCAATGTCCTACATGTCATTTCGTCCGTATTTCTCCTACTTCAAGTTGTATTTCTTGGTCTCCATACAACGCGATAAAAATGGTGCGATTTGTACCAACTCTGAGTCTCTCATAGCACGGTTCCCATACTGCACTATGTAAGGTTCCATAGAACTCTCTACGAATTAGCCTGAATTGTATGTTAAATACGAGTTTCTTATAGCACGGTTCCTATACTGCACGGTACGCACTTGCCGCGTAAAGCGAGGGTTTACTGTAGATGTATATTATATGTAGAAGAACGCCAATATTGAAGAATTTCTTTTCATTTTCTTATTTAATGCAATTAATAAAGACAAAAGTTTGGAATTTCAGGCCCAATTCATTTCAGCCAAAAGTACTTAATTCACATTTCTCATACATACATTATATGGCTCAATATATATGACTCGATGTATAGTCAATTATAAATTTTAGTGAATGCATAATTTAATTTTCAGAATACAGTAACAAAAAAGATTTTAATTCTAATTTTACACTAAAACTTTTATTGTATTATTGATTATAGATCAATTCTGGGTACTAATAAAAATGCATAAAGATTAAGCATGATTAATAATCAATGAAGAAAATGTATACTCAATATAATCACTTATATACACTGCATTCTCTATTAATGATGGTCATTGAGTGATGATTGAGTGGATAATGAAATTGTGTAAGAGATAATTGGCATCAGAATAAGTTAGACTAATCATTTAATCATTATCATTACTTAATTTTAATTAATCTCTTCGTGATCTTCAGAGAAATCAATAGACTTTTATATATTTGAAATCCATTCATTTGAACAGATTATATGCTATGATTATTAATCTATATTAGTAAGGTTTGAACATTTTATATTCAAGATTCGCGCTGTTGGTCTTCGCACTTTTTGCACGAACAGCGGTAGCCATCTTTTGCGTAAAATTTGGTGAAATGACATGTGTTTTTGTGGTAAGGCGATAATTAATTAACCTTATAATTAGATTTTTAATTAAATTTGATTGTTTTATGCTTTTCTAATCAATTTTAATTGGATTAATCTGATATAAAAAATACATAAAAATATTTATTCACCAAAAACAACAAACACCTGTTGAGGTTATTTGTCGGCAGCGAGGCTTATACTTATTAATAATTATCTTTTAACAGGGTCTTCGTTCTCATAAATCTCATAACAAATATGAGATTTACAGATTCCATTGTATCCTTTGCATATACATGTTGTCAATTGCTAAATATATAATTCATATATGTATGCTTCTAAATCCGACAAGTACTTTCACAGATTCATTTTATTATCAAATGTTAGGTCGCTAATTCATTTACAAAAGTCTTTAAAATGTACGTTGCGGTGTGTGCTGTCTTAAAACTTCATTTGGACTTTCGCAATATATTAACTAAGCATATTAAGTGTTCAAAGTAGTGATTATGTGTTTGAAGTAGTGAGTTCAGTATCCAGCTTTACCACTTTGAGGATTTTTTCCAAGGTAAGCCAAACCGATTTGTAAACATAACTAGCCATAGAATACTTCTCTGGAACCATGCACAGGCATTCGTCATACAACAAACAATGTTTCAAAAATAGTATAATATTTGATGAATAATTTAGGGTATTTGAGTGAAATATTGGCTGACCTGTGAATTATTAGTATTTTATGCATATGTGCTTGCTAATAATAAGTTTCAATAATTTGAGACCAGTGCACAGTGTTAAATTACATAATAATAATAAATAGTAGTCTGCGCGAAGGTAGGTCCATGGTATGAGAACACCTCAAAATCAGTGATTTCCTTCCCCTCTCCGTATATTATTTCCATTACTGTTTCTACTACGACCTGTAGAATGCAGTATTTTTGCAGAATGAGTATAATCCATCTTTTCAGGATTGTATTCAGTAAAGTCCTTTCTTTGTCCAGTCTTGTCAGGACTTCTTCATATGTTATCTTGTCTGTTCACTTTATTTTGTCCATTCTCCTCCAGCACCACATTTCAAAACTCTCTAGATAGTTCTTGTCGACCTCTATTAATGTTTATGTCTCTTCTTTGCCCGGATCCCCTTCGTGCAGTATCTGTCTCTGGTCAGGATGCTTCCTAAGTATTTAAATTACATTACATATTAGTGCTTAAGACACTTACGACAGAACTTTGAATCTGTACATTTTAATACAATAATGTTCTTTGAGCTTAGTTCATATTTTAGTTGATTTAAGTTTATATTTGACTTAACATTATTTTTTAATAATTGTAGTAATGCATAAAATTAACCCTTTCCACTCGGATGCCACAAATTCATATATATTTTGCAATTCGCGAGTGGAAAGGGTTAACTTAATTCACTATTTATTTATGTCAAGTATTATAGGAATGAATTATTTTAAAACCAATCTCTTTTAGCAAAAATATATGCAAAAGTTTTCGAATATTACTTGCTGTACTTTCAATCTGAAAAGGACAGGAAATATCTGAATGATTGAACAAATCAATCATTACTTATTGAGCAAGTGATGCTCAATAAGTAAGAATATGGTTTTATGGGGAAAACATGTTGATTCATTGCTGAGATGTATTGTTGTAGTACATTTGCTATCACAGTGCAACTGTAACTTAAAAAAGCACACTCCCTTAATGGAACGTTAAAAGTTCCCTTAAAGTTAATGGTATTTCATATTGAAAATCTAGTTGTGAGAAGTCTGTCAGATAGCACTTTAATAGCAAACATATCTTGTGAGTCAAGAATTATTTTGTTTTATAAAAGGGATACAATACTTTATCGATTTCTGTTTAATGGCAAAATAATATTTTTTATTCTACATTTCTATTACATTTACGAATTTATTACATTTCTAGCATCAAGAATCATGTGCTTTCCCTATAGTGATATTTAATGTATGCACATTTTTTAATTAAATACAACACAATTATAGGTTTTGATCAAAATATTTGAAGACACATGCTTCGGAGGTGATTTAAGAAATGACAGTGTGTTTCTGGAGGTGCTGCAGAGAATTTCCAACAATGTAAGTGCAATGCATGTTTCATACAAAGCAAGTCAAACAATATATTTCTGGAATTATATACAGGCATTACCTGTATATACAGTCAATACTCGGTTAACTATGCGTTCTATGGAAACTTATATAGTGCAGTATGGGAACCGTGCTATGAGAGACTCAGAGTTAGTACAAATCGCATCATTGTTATCGTGCTGTATGGAGACCAAGGAATACAATTTGAAGTGGGAATAGTACGGACAAAATGACATGTATGACATAGACACCTTATTCGAAAATTGGCGCGACGAAGTAGTCAGCTCAAACGTGTTTTTAGACAGCTATTATATAATCAGGCATGGGGCTGTTCAAGTATTACGTAAGCACTTTGGGGGGGTGGGGATTATTGATGTCTTATTCTGGGTGACATTTTGGTGATAGCTTTGCTTACGTTTGCTGGTAAAGGGGGATTGTGGGGGTAAATAATTGTACTAAATCTGCTTACGTAATGCTTGAACGATCCCCATGTCTAAAAGATAAAAGTTGATAACAAAACTTACATTAATACCCTTTTGATATCAAGTTCTTAGAATTTCTCATAGGTTACGCAAGGAACTATTATGGGCTGTTGAACAAACACCGTGTAATAGGAAGTCCGTGTAGTCGGAGGGATGTCGGATTTTTAGCTCTGCGTAGTATGGGAACCGTGCATCCAGAGTGCCGTGTTAACGAAGGGTTAACTGTATATATATATATATATATATATATATATATATATACTATGAAATATGAACAACAACACTATTTTTGCACTATTTATTTAAGTAGGGTAAAGTGGGTAGGGTACCTTGGTGGTAGGGGGCTTTGGTAATGGAGGGTTGATATATATATGATAAGATCGGGCGTTACATCAATAAAAATAGAATAAAAGTTTTTAGAATTTATTTATTCCAAATCTATACATTTTGGCTAACATCCTAGCCTTCACTCAGTGGAATATTCTGTTAATTATAATAATTAAACTCCGTAAATAATTCGTAATAGTTTAAGAAAAAATTAATAGTGATAATAAGCTAATCTTGCGGCTTACTGTTTGGTATACTTAATTAATGAAACACTATTGCACTATTGCACTCTTGCACGTATTAAGACATGCACTATTATAAAATCTATATATTTTTGGCATCACAACTAATCATGCATAATATTTATTAATTTATCGAGAATGTGTACTGACTGTTAAGAGTTTGGGATAGAAATGTCGCATTTTTTTGGAAAAGAAAATATATAAATATACTTGTATATAAATATATAAAAGTTTGCACATGTGTTCGGAGAAATAAGTTGAAATATGAACTAAAGCAGTCTGTTTATATTTTAGTAGAATATTTTTTCTAGCTCGTGCTTTATTGATATATTATCATATTTCTGCTGATAATATGGTTTAAATTTGAGTCAATGTAATTTTTCGAGTAAGGTATGCTTTATTAAAATATGAATAAAAGATTTTAAGTTAATGAAGCAGACATATGTGTAAAAATTTTATTATATTTTAAATAATACAATGCACTTATTTAATTGGTAAGTGATGCTCGATAACCAAGGAAATGATTATATTCAATTTGCTACGGGAAAAACATCTTGATTTTTTAAAAATTTATTTAAGCAAGTGCAGTTTATAAATTTTGTCAATAAATATTAAAGAAATACAGTTAAATACAAATTGTATTATTTATCAAAGGCATTGTCAATCAGAAATTTTTGTTTGTTCTATAAATAACACTATGAGCTGATTTTGCATGGATTTCAAAATTCTCATATATTAAAATTTTATTACTAAATTATTAGATAATTAGTACAGGTTTTTGTATGCATTGATAATTTATTTGTTGAGCAACTTTTTGAATGGTATATATTGTTGTGCATTTGCTACCCTGATGACTGCAGCATCTTCAGCGAATGTTTTGTCTGAATATCATTTATGTATAGGATATGCCGAAGGGGCCCTAGCAAGTTCTCTTAGATAACTTCTGAATTAATGGTATTTCAGATAGAACTCTTATTCTGAGGAGTCCGTCCATCTGATAGCATTTCCACAGCAAAAATACCTGTCTCAATTACATTTCCCCTTTATGTTTTAACGATTGTGCATTTTGTTTGTTATTCTGTGGTAAAAAAAACTTTAAAATTACAGTTCTAGTATCAGGAGTCATTTGTTTTCCCTGTAACGATATTGACCGCATGCACATTCTTATTAATGACAGCACGATTGCTGGTGTTGATGATCATATGTTGAGCAATTGTGTAATTTTTTTTAATAAATTCACAAATTAGTAGATGTTTAGTGAAACAAAATAATCATTTGCTCTTTTTTTATTTTCTTTTTTTATATCTCTTCTAGATATTTTTAACTTCTGTTCTAACAATTGTATATTTTAAAATTGTTCAACATGTTGATTAATCATGGCTTACCATAATTAGACTTAATCAATTATTAATAAATAAAATCTACATTAACTCGATTGGTTTTCATTTAAATGCAGTGCTATATTATATTTGCTTTAAAAAATATGTGAAATATTTATATAGTATTTAGACAAAGTATATTATATAGTATTTGTAGAAGCTATTTTCTCGATATAAAGAATTTTGTTAGTGAATTTATTTTTTTATTCGAGTTAATGTAGTTTGATTGAAGTTTTGGAGAGTTGGCTTGAACAATTAAACATAAGTTTGATTACAAGTATTTTATTCGTTACGAACTTTTTAAATTTATCAAATTCGATGTCTAAAGAGTAATAGTGTGAGCTTTTTATCACTTTTGAATTTTTAAATTTTCATGTTTTGTTGATTTTTGTTTACAATTTTATTCAATGCTTTTTATATCGTTTGAGTCAACTATATTTGTTTTTGTCTCGATTGATTGTAAGGGTTTCACATGTTTCATAAAGTCATATGAACAATTTTAATTTGATTAAGATCATCCTTTCGATTTTTTTTAAATCGATTAATATGATTTCATTCAAATTCAAATTATTCAAATAATTTTTTTTGAACTCAATATTTACTGAAACCTTTTTGATTATGACAGACCACATAATTTTGCATGCTATATCATCTTGAAGCCAACTTTTAAATGAGTAAGACCCACATTGAAATTTTATTATTATCATTTTTTATACACTCAGTACATTGAACTACTTTGAAAATTTTATGACGAGAAAATTTCACTGGGGCATAATTAAAAATTTTAATTACGAGTATGT